GTCTACGTACACATGCGCTCACACGGCAGCTTGCAATTTCCTCTGGTTTCTTTGTGTTTCACGGATTCCATTCAACATTCAATGTGCCTATCAAATTTTAATTGCACCCCTGTCTATATAAACCACATTGATACCAAAATCAAACAGTGTCAGATGTACCCAGATTTCATGTCTACTAAGGTGTAGATTACCTTCTTGGAACCGAATGCGCTCTAAGATATGGACATGTGCTGTGCATTATTCGCAAACATGTAAATATATATTACATATCAATCCAGTAAGATGTGCCAAGAGATGTAATGACAGTGGGATAAGACGTACCATGGGTTCTATCAGTGCAGATCACATAGCAGTGTGTACAGAACACTGCATGGTATTGGTAGTAGTAGCAATACTTGGTCGCTATTAGAACCAGAGGCTCCCCATCACAGACTTAGCTATCCTTGCAGTTAACATCACAGGCACTACTGCGTGTACCTGATTCTGTGGAACATAAAACCACCTACTAATCGACTGCACGCTTACTTCCAGGCCACGTACCACTTACACGCGGTCCGGTCAGCCTGGCCGAACGCCACCACTTCCATTACGAACGCTATACATAGAGGCAGATAATCTTTTCAGTTTTGCTGCACAGTATCCATGGCCTGCATAAATCTTAGGGGTAAGCATCTAGCAACAAATTAGGACGACTGTATAACAAGCTTGCAATCGTATATAATCAGGCAGTCATCAGCGTGCACCTAGATGCGTGTAAACCTAGCTACAAATTTCAGGCTGCAAGCTTTTAAAAATGAATATATTAATATATATATGAACATTTCCAATACATACTACACAACCAATGACCACGCAATGGCCTTGAAGAAAACGCCAGCAGTCACAACATAATACCTGCACATGAACAATGACTATCATTATCATTGCTCATTAATTTTAATTAGATTCATAAATGCTAATCTCGTATATATGGTCGTAATAAAGACGCACTAGTTAGTATTCTCCTTCATATTGCTGCTAATACCATTAACTTAGGTTGACGTGAAGTTGCCCCTTACCAAATTAGAGCTTCACGTCCCCACCCACTGCAGGATACACAGAGCAGATAACCAGTACACCGAAGCATAGCCCAGGGATGACACAAACGTCTTCCCTTTTTTGCCGAACCATTTTTTTTCTAGCTGACGGCCAGCAACATACGCGCATGAGTGCTGAGTGTGGGAAGAGGAGGAGGCTGATAATTTTTCTTAGAGCTAACAAAGCACCCGGCCCGTACTGTACAGTGTACATGCACATAATTAGAGGGGAACAGCGATTTGGATGAGGCACATGCGTTCTACGTGACCATAGGAGCACACAAAGAGCCACGCACGGGGCTCGTCTACTTCCACGTGTGTGGGGGAGAGGTAGGGGTGGGAATCGACCGGTGGTCTCCGTGCCAGCTGCGGTATTGTTGTGGCACGCATGCGCTGCTAGTTAAAGGACTAGAACACTTGAAACTATGATGTTTAAATGCCCCGATACAGTATGTGTGTGCTAAAAACATTAGAACAACACTAACGAAAGAACATACAATGTTGTAGTTATGGCACTATGCCTGTGCATAAGAAAGTAGGGCAATATTCTCAACCTACCCGACATGCCCTACGTTATCCCTCCGTTCACGACCACGCTTCTAACACTGTCATAGCACTCCAGCTAACATGCGCAAATAATAAGGTGACGAAATGGTTCAAATTTCCTGAGAACATCGTTAAATAAATCGGAAACTGATGCATTGCAATAACAAAATTAAAACACTAATAGTAATATGAACAAACATGAAGAGGACTTTCAGGTACTACCCAACGTAAAAGTAAACCAGTTGAGTGCAAGTGGTTGTAACTTGTATGCCACACAAATTATGCAGATATTTGTGTAGATATGAGCATAGATAACCCTTTGAATATCTTATCATCTACATATGATTTACATTTATAATTGCATCTGGTTGTTCACCCATTTTGCCAAAATTGAATGGCTAACCTCACCTCAAGATATAGGCAACACGGAAATGTCAGCATCTCATGTAGAATGTAAATGTGCTAAGTACTGCTCTTAGATTGTTTGTAAGTATAGTAGTGCTACCAGTACGAATATATATGCACTGAGTATTAATTTTAGCAGGCCTTATAATCAAACGGAGCTACTTTCCAGCACCTGATGCTTTTCGTTAAAAAACATGCAATACCAAATTACCAACTACACATCTGCGCAGTGGCATCAAACTCGTACAGCTGCACCGCACATCAGTAAAAAAATGCATACTTCTGTAGTAAAAAACAGAAACGCGTGTTCAGTCCTGCAGATTATTTCGGTAGAGATGCTACTCCACATGCATCAGCCTTGCGCAACAATTCTGCATTCTATTTCAAATACACGTCTTCTTTATCACAACTCGATCAATGTACACCTACCATTTGATCAATGACTCATTTTTCTGCTAAATGCCTGTACCTAGAGTATTGCTTGGTACTTCCTTATACATGAATAGTTATAACTGATAACAAGAGTAGATAAGCAATAGATAAAATAATAGACAGTTTCTATAAATGGCAGTATAAACCTGTTAGCACTAAAAAACATTCAACAATTTAAATTATATGCATTATTTACAAGTGACTATTGCTCCAATCATGAATATAAAATGAAAAAACCTCTAGACACTACTCAGTTATATACATATTTTACCAGGGTTCTCCAAGCTTTTTTCATTATAGCATGGGGTGCTGCGTTTACGGTCCTAGTTGCAAATCGCCGAAGGTGGTTTGCGTGCTAGGGGGGTTTGGGGGCTATGATATTTAGAGTGGCGGGTGCATTTTAGGATGGCGGGGCTCGACAATAGCCTGGCGGGCCGCCAGGCTAGTATAAGTTCTCTTGGAGAACCCTGTTTACCTAACCCCACAATTACATAACATCACAACAAAATATAAATATTTCGATTGTGAGCTTGGCCATATTGAAGAAATACATTTGAACTCGGTGGCATTGTGGTTTTCATAACATTTTTCAGCAAAGCTGAATAGTATTGACAAGGTATAGAGCTATGGAAACAGTGTTGAAATATAAAGTGTTTTTTTAAATATACAATACTTTAAAATTCATTAAAAATAATAATGCAGTAAATTTGTGCAAATTACTACTATTCTTTGCTTGCATGGGCCTAGCGTGTTATTGTTTACAGGTACAAATTGTTGACGATTTAATTTCACATGAATTAATGTGAAACCAAAATTCATGATGATGAAGTTCTGAGAATGTTCAACTTTACTGCTTATTTCTGGCTTATCAATAACATTCCATAAGTTACACAAACATGCTCAGATGTAGAATATTTTTAAAACTAGCTTTTACTACTTTAAATAATATTATTTATTTACTCACTTTACTTTACTCACTTTATTTATTTATCAGATTATTTATCAAATATTTTATCAATTGAGGCATTTGGTCTTGGGCAATAGTAACAGAAAGTGATTGTCACCTTGTATGTGATTGAAAATTTCAATTTCATTATTTTTAACTTGCTTTTAAAAAAAACCTATACCACAGTTGTGAAATATATTATTAACACACACACAACGTACACAAACACATGTATACACACGTACACACACACGCGTGCGTGCGTGCGTGTGCATACATGTGCATGTCAGAGCGTACAGGGGTGTGTATATGCATTCATGACTGTGTATTCGTGTGTGTGTGGTTTCTGTGCTTAAAACATGCAACTAAATTACAAATTTGTGTAAATTGTGCTTAGAGTTGACATTATACTCACATTGGCCAACTCAAATTATATAGTAAATAAATATAAATTATATCAAATTATCAATGTTTATGTACCTTATGTCATCTAATAGTGCTACTTAAAAACACTGTTCAAATGCTTGCGTACATCTGCATTCTTACTGCACATACGCCATAACAAAGTGACAATTATACACATGTGACATACACAATTTGTTTTGGGGTGAGTTTATTAGTCTGTTATGGCAAATCTATTTTTTAATAGTGGAATGGCCCTACATACTCCATCTAGTGTTAGTGTCATGTAAACTACTAAAACATTGAACAAAACAAGTCATGGAAAGACAACGGCAGTCGCTTGCATACGCACACGTGGTGAGTCGTGCAACCGATCGCTTGCGGTTGCAGGTTGCAGCGACGAGCAACTAAAAATCGCAGGTCCGCGCTAGGCTTTAGGAAATGACTTTGCATCTTTTACCAATGAACATGGTAATTTTTGAAACGCAAGCCAGTATAGTACTATTAGTAGCTCAAAAGCAATATAATATCATCTCAAAATGCGGTGCATCCCGGCCATTAACCTTTTATAAACAGTCGTTTACAGTTTTACAAAAAGACGGCCATGCCACGCGAGAGCTTTACCTGATTTCAGTTCATAAAGCATGCTGCACCAACAGCTAAGTCGTGTTATGATTACTTGTAAACACTTAATTTTAAACGGTAAAAAACTGGGGGAGATTAGTTGACAAGGTGTTCTGTCATCATGTGAATCAAATAAAAGGTTTAAAGTCCTCAGTTCTACTCTAGCCTAGGGCCAACATGATCATCATCCGTCATCCTAACTCAAAACCTAACTTGACGCTACCCCAACACTATGGAATGAGACTTCTAAAACGTATATTGTATAGTGTGATCAGACGTTGGGTGAGTGCAAGTACGTAGATTTCAACGCTTGATCTACCAGTCTTAATTCATTATAAATATCAAGTAAATAAATAGACTTTGTCAGTTTTAAAAGAATAAAAATGATTATATGAATGTGAGGCCGAGGTCTCTGTTGTCTGTTGATACAACAGCTTTAAATATATATAACGTTTCAACACAGCTCAGTTCGTTGGTGTTTACGTTGTCATCATCATTCATCACACATACATTCCCTCCTATAAACACACATTATTGTACTCTACATATGTACATCTATAAACACTTACCAACTCATGTACGAAATCCCAACAGTTAGGAGAAATCCTACGATCACAGAAAAACATTACCTTTACCTTATCTCTGAAATCCACCGAGTGTTTATTCGGTCGACGAAAACCGGCCGCCCAATGTAAATCATCCGCGTAAGCGAAGAGTAGAATATAATAATGGTTATTGTGATCGTTTTTTTCCCCAAGCAACTATATGTCAGAAAATACTCTTGTAAAATATTATAGTCAGGTATATTTACTCATCTTAATTTCTATTCAAACAGTCCAGGCAGTACTTCTTGTATAAAACGCGAATATATATGTAGAGACTCAGAGAGCACCATATATTAGATACAATAATGTAACCCAAACCCAAGAGGATACCCCTATCCTCTTGGGTTTGGGTTACATTATTGTATCTAACCATATATGTGTATCAATCAGGGGCGTAGATAGCGGGGGGGATGGAGGGGATGCATCCCCCCACTTATTGACGTGGGGGGATGGCGTGTACAATCATCCCCCCTTACTTTCAGGAGGAAAATGGGGTATTAAAAATTTTCTGGGGGAGGACCCGCATACCCACGCCTGTTTCTTACCACCCTCCTCGAAAACCTGCATTAAAATCTCATATTTTACAGACACTAAATTCTGAACAGTTATCTACAAATCCGTCATTGCTATTCATACTCTCCTAATGTATTATTACAGAAATGGAACGTGACTTACATCTCCTGTAACATGGCTGTAATTAACTCGTTCCGAGAATGACATTATTTTACTGAAACTAAGACGGTTAATTTTGGACGCATTCCCCATATACGATTTTTTTTTCAAAATCCCCAGTCTTATCACTGCTCACGAAAGTTAAATCCTTGCTTTATTCAAAATTAGAATAGACCTATTGAGAGTTGGGATATTGAATTTTCGCGGGGATTGAATGAAAAAATTCAATTTCATCTCACTTTTTTGGGGGGAGGGGGTGCTGAGACCCGACCGGAAGTATATTCCCGATTTCGTATAAGGGGTGAAAATATGCACTTTTCAAGTCTGGTTGTTTTTCTCATATTTTTTTGGCAGTTTTAACGTTCTCAGTAAAATATACGTTTTATCAAAATTTCAGGGGGAGATGATTCCAGTGCTGTATAGTCATCAACGAGGGTCGGTAGCACGGGGCGGTCGCCCCCCTAGAATTTTCAGGGCAAAGGTATTTTAGCCTACGTAAGTCTGCACTGGTAACCCCAGTGAGGACATGTACATAGCACAGATTTGGTAGAAAGTATTTTAGTCTTTGGTGTCCCCAAAGGTAAAAATACTCGACTCAACAGTGATGTTATTGTGATGAAGATTGTTTAATAGTGCTGCCTCATAGTGCAGGAAATTGCATCGAAGAGGTGTTACTTTCAACAAAATCCCCGGACCCCCCTAAACAGAAGGGAGACACGTACGCCCTAAAGGAGGAACAATCGTGATATTCTATGATAAAGTTGTCCAAAATTGATTGCTTTTAGATTGCAACTTTTTAACAATTCCACGGACCCCCTCCCCTCCCCCCGGGCGCTTCGTGCCCTTGAGCTTTTCTGGATCCGCCACTGGTTGTGTGTGGAGGGGGGGCGTGTTATTAAACCTCTGGGATCCAAAGAAAAAAATTACCCTAGAATTCACAAAATTGCACTTACAATATCAATTTTTTTCAATTCCCTCAAAAACGGCCCCTGGGCCCCGGACAAGGGCTCTGCCCCTGCTCCCTGCCAGGGGCCCTACGGCGGGCCCCTGGACCCCACCCATTAAGGGCTTTGCGCCAAGGCGCTCGCGGTGTGCTCGCGCACACTCTTCATTCGCACACAGCAAAATCATCCCCCCACAACTGAGGGAGGACCTGTCTACGCCACTGGTATCAATAATAATTATATATCTGTATTGATAAACTTGTGCAGTTTCAGTGTCATCTCAGATGTTTTGTATAGACTTCCCTATTTTTACGCAAGAGTTATGCGACCAATTATTACGCGACCATTTGCAAAATGTATTATATTTTATAATTTATTTCAATAAATTAAATTCTTGGTGTGAAACTGTGGATTAGGTTTCTGTTTCTGTTTTTGTTGTAGTACGTTGCAGTATCCAAAATTGGCATCGAGGCAACGGAATCGGGAGAGGGCTAATTATTTTAGAATTGATGTTGGCTGCGCTTAGATGTAAATTGCTCAGCACTGTCCGCAGTTACTATGTGGTCACCCAGGTGGTTCCACTGTATCACTGTGTGGACAAAGAAGGAATTCTTGTACTGCATGGTCAGTTTTGTACGCTGGTACGTTGAATCCTTTTGAGTTCAGACGGATGGAACGTTCGTTGATGAGAGCACTGATGAACTCCTCCTTGTTGTATCTGCTAGGTGGTCTCACTCGTATTTTGCCGGTTTTGCACGTCTTTTGCCTGTAGAGATAGGTTAGTCGCATATCACGACGGCGGTTTTGGAGGCTTTGCAGCTGTAGGGACGAGAGCATGCCTGTAACACAGCCTGGAGTTCTGCTGTGGTAGTCCCCTGTGATGAAGCGGGCTGCACGGTGTGTAATAACGTGAAGGTAAACTTGGAAAAAATCTAAAACTCTGTATTCATCAATATTTCTCTCATCTCAAAATTTAAAAAAAGTTTTTAAATCAACCATTTTTAATTAATTCTCAAAGATCACTATTGCATCATCTGTATTTTATTACCCATCACATATTTTACATTTGTGGAAATAACTAACTATACACATATTGTTAAGTGTGTAACCATTACCATGGGTCTACTCAGCAAACCCAATTTCTACTCCATAAGTTTCAAGACACTCAATGCCGTTCTAAGAAACCAATCGAAGCCATACGTTTTACAGTTAATAACTTTATTGTCCCTAACAAATCCAGCAAATGAAACAGCGACCTCAAACAAACGAGAAACACTGGAACAGGTGACACTAGCTGTCAAGTCTAATTTACAAACACCATCTGTGCAGTGTCTCAGTATAAAAATACTTAGCTATACTCAAGTCTACTCGATTCTCAAGCCTCACAAGCTGTGCTGAATGCTGTTTGGTTTACACATTGTCACGAGAAAGCGCCACTTTTACTCTGTCGCGCAGTACGGTACTCATGCTGTCTATTTGTTAACGGATTCCCATGTTTGACTGGCAAGTTTGGTTTACAACATTCTACGCAAACACTGTGATAAGCAAATGTGCTCAGCTATCACCCCTGCATCCTATGAAGCCAGCGAAATAAGCCTTAGGCATTTAAGCCACGTCCCACGAAGGTAGGTAAATGCGAAGGTAGGTAACAACCTGCGCAGTCACATAAACCTGTGTGCTCCAAACTTCATGCCCGCATTCCACGAAGGCAGGGAAATGAGCCCAATCGCATCTCGCTCACACCCCACGAGTGCGCTCGAGACATCATGTCCACACTGCATGCAGGAAGAAAGATGTTCTACTAAATAAGAACCATGCACTGTAAAACATCGCAGGGGCGTGCGGTACAGTAAGTGCTACTACCTGAGATGCCGCCAAGGTAAACCTAGATATGAGAACGAACATTTGTAAACCCAACCGCATGTCGAAGGTCTGCGAAGATCCTTTCTTGCGTTTCTGATTATATTGTGCTCGCTCCCCTTCTCTTCCTCCCCCCTACCTATCTCTCCTGCACTCCCGTTATCTCTACCAACCCTCTTGTTCCCTGTCCACCTCTCTCTCGTTTTCTCTTTCCCCTTCCCTTTCTCGGTCTCACATGACTCTAGTTCACGTAGGCAACAAAGCAGACGCGGTGAAAAGTGCAGATGCATTTTCTTTAACAATATATGCCACATCACATCCGGTGGAGGTTTACCACCACTGTGCAACCGGCGACAAGTACGTGAAGGTTGAGAACATCGTGCTACTCTTGCTTACACTCTGTAAACATGTTTTAAGCATAACCTGAAGCATAAGTTGTATCTTGAAACAGATACACAACTACTGGCAGTCACTTCAGATTGTGTTTCACTAGCAGTTTCGCAACAGGGGGGCTGTACGCCATTTAATAACCATGTATATTCCTCGCTGACGTACTGAATGCAAAATGCTGTAATTTCCATTTCTGGGTGTAGAAGGGAATGGAATACAGAATATTATAAACGTGTAAACAATTGAGTACAATATAGATTGTTATGGTGTGCGACAAAGAACCATCCTCGGACAAACATGCAGCAATCGGTGTGGTTGAGAAGGCAGGTAAGTGTTCCTGTTACAGAGACATGGTACAACGAAATATAACCATATATAAGACATCTGATCAATATGTCCCCTCCTACTCGCTCATCAGAGATAATGTGGCTAGGAGTACAGATTCCTTGATAATGATCCCTACATTTTTCATGCCAAAACATGGTTGCAACAGCATTGCGAACAGTTCCAAATTTTTTTCAAATTCTTAGTGACAAAATCATGACATTATCAAAAATTCACACCACAGACCAAAAGGTTAGGTCTGGTGCAGCGACTGAGGTCAAGCTAGTTCGCGTATCCACCAGTAGGTGTCAGTACACTAAAAAATAATAATTGTTGGCCTGACAACATTTTTAAAGGTGCATGTTTAATGCCAGCACATTAAAGACAAATGAGCACTTAAATGAACATTTAATGCAAACATTATTTGCAACTTCTCGTGATAAAAAAAAGTTGATCGCTTAGTACTAGTGCTTAGTAAAAATACTGCTTTAATTATACATAATTCAAACGAACTTTGAAATTTTTGAAATTTTGGCAGGACTGATGATTACATGCAATTTTAAAAGTACCAGTTAGTCCATAGCAGTGTTTGTTTGGTCAAATCCTGTAATTTTATACATTCTTATGCCACGTAGCAAACATTACCTATGATACGACTTAACAAGGATCAAATTTTCACATCTTAAAACTGTTATCTGGTGCCAGTTTACAAGCAGAACAAATTAATACATATGCAACACATCTGCAGAACTTGGTATGCAAGAGACACTATCACTTTACCTATTAGTCTGGTTATTTCACAAGAAGCTGTTTCGCAGTTTTATACACCATGCCTCCATCACATTTAATGTGCACACAAGTGGTAAACGCTGCTACTGTAATTGAACACTGCTAATTTCTTATAGTTCACCTCTTAGGTGGCCAAGGCTATGGGAAAGAAACATACACATTGCCACCTAGTGAGTAAAACAAGAAAATGTTGGGCGGGCTTGAAACTAGGCACTATTGTCAATACCAATCTCTCAAACCATTTGAATACGTCTAGAGGAAAAGTGCCACAATTTGAATAGGCATGAACATGAATCAAAAACATGAACCCAAATTGTCATGTAAAAAGTGGTTATCCACCAGAGGTTTGGCAGAACCTAGTCTTGCGCGAGTAACAATAGACCATGCTAACAGCAGTTGCCTCCCACAGTCTTGTCATCATCACCTTGCCATGTTAATCGCATCAACATGATCGAAATAATATTTAGTAACAGAGCAGCTCTCGCAAATCTAGTGCATTAACAGTTTATAATAAATAATGTTACATCTACTCTGTGCCTAACGATTTTAGAGTGTAATCGGTCTGGTGGATTAAAAATGGTTGACTTCTTCGAGTGATCAATTCTCGATTGCTCTCACTGCTAAGCTACAGTACAATACGAATCATTCAACCTAGCGAAAATTAATGCGGCTTTTTTTACACGTGATACTTGCTATGCTCGATTCCTCCAACTCTCATATGTACCATCATCAAAACTCACTACAAAATACGGATTTCTACAGCACTGTTGAAAAGCTATGTACAGCATGCTGGCTCGACTGTGTGCGTGTCACGATGGCACAGCCGAGATGATAACAAAGTTCATATGAAAGCAGACGAGGTGTCTCCGTATTGTACATCCTCCTGGTGGAAATTTACAACCACGGGCTGTAGCAGGGAAGGTGGTCTCATGTCCGAATAGCTCTCTCCTCGCGCTGAAGTCGGACACAATTTGATCGGCTCACTCTCCACTACACACAGACTCGTTCCTCAGAATAGCCTGCGCGTGACCAAAAGAGTCTCAGTCATCAACTTCGATAATTGTTAGACATAATCACGTACATTTATGTATTTAGTAACGCAAAGCAATCACTTAAAAGTGGGTGCCCTATAAATTTTCTTTTAGCACAGAGACCTCTTAAATATGCAAATTTTTACAGGGTGCATACACATTTTTGTTAATTCGTCTACTAATTCTGTTATACGAAATATAACCAGTACTGCAATGCGACTGTTGCTGTGCTGAGAATGTTGGAGCAGACGGCAGAAGAGTAGGCAGGAGAGTAGGCAAGAGAGTATACAGGAGAGGAGGCAGGAGGGTAGGCAGGAGAGGAGGTAGGAGCGTAGGCAGGAGAGTAGGCAGGAGAGTAGGCAGGAGAGGAGGCAGGAGGGTAGGCAGGAGAGTAGGCAGGAGAGTAGACAGTCAAGTAGGCAGGAGAGGGCAGGAGAAGAGGCAGGAGGCAGGAGAGTAGGCAGGAGAGGAGACAGTCGAGTAGGCAGGAGAGGGCAGGAGAAGAGGCAGGAGGCAGGAGAGTAGAGGAGAGTAGACAGTCGAGTAGGCAGGAGAGGGCAGGAGAAGAGGCAGGAGGCAGGAGAGTAGGCAGGAGAGTAGACAGTCGAGTAGGCAGGAGAGGGCAGGAGAGTAGGCAGGAGGCAGGAGAGTAGGCAGGAGAGTAGACAGGAGAGTAGGCAGGAGAGGGCAGGAGAGTAGGCAGGAGAGGGCAGGAGAGTAGGCAGGAGAGTAGGCAGGAGAGTAGGCAGCAATGGATGGCAGGAAGTACACTAATTGTTGTAATAGAATTGACACAGAACAGCCTATACATTTTTAAAGCTGTAACAAAATTCTGATTTTATCATGTTGCCACCAAGCAAATACTTTAGCAGCTCTTAGAATTTAACTTACCATCCGAGTACAAAGAACTGGGCTATGCTACATGAAGGAATTCTTATTTTTTGACTCCTCGTTGTCTGCTATCTGCTCTCGTAAAAATAAAACTCTGAAACAAACCAAATACATGAGAAAACCTAGTAAAGGTAATGCAAAGAATTGAATCAATCCACTTGTGCACACCATATCTTCATCGTCACTAACCTACCCTTATAGGCTTATACTGATTCCAGATCATAAACTTCACATATATATACACACACACACATATATATATATATATATATATATCAGGGCGCAAAATTAGCACCGGCCCACCGGCACATGCCGGCAAGTTATTTGGAAGGCCGGTAACATTGGCAAAACACCGGCCCTCCGAGCCGGTGGTTTCAGCCGTGTTAGCGAGTACCTACATTTTTATTTATAGCATTAATGAGCAAATAGCCTACATTACTGTTTTACCTGAAGGATATCACGCCATAATTTATCAACATTTTACAATGTAATAAACTGCTTACAAGTAGTGATTTAGACTACCCATTGATAGTTTGTTATTTGCTCTGTCAAACAGATCCACAAAAAATCATAGCTGTGATTTTTACCCTTTAAATGAAAAAACCTTGGAAGAACATGTTTACAGAAACGTGAACATTTGCTTTGTGGGTGCGTCTATGTTAAAGAAATAAACAAACTCATTGGTAATACTGCTATAATAACAGCATTTAGGAACCAGATACAGCTGATCGATCGTTTTTCTGACGTTAAATATTCTGTTATTAAAAGCACTCTTCCAATTAACCTCTTGCACAGACCTACATCCATTGTGGTTGGGTTTGTTTTGGGTTTTTTGGGTACTTGAGAACTAACCAAGATGACAAAAAAGTTGTGAAAATCATCAACTTCATTGCACATCAACGGCTTATTTAGAACATTTCACAATATTTTAGTAATGCAACAATGCCCACAAGTATGACACATAAACGATGCTATCCCACTTTAACGTTTAATCAAAAGCTAATCACTAACCAAACCACAGCTCAAATGCTGTGCCAGGTCATGACAAACGAGGCATCATGAAAAGAATAACGATGAAGAAGAATGAGTAAACAAGAATGAGGTTAGATGCAATATTTCACAGATTACTGACAGACCTTTGCTCCTGCAGAGTTGACATAATTTCCTGCACTCGCACCATGGATCGCGCCGACTTCAGCTCAGCTGACACCTGCGTGCACTGTAGGTTGCCGTACCCATTGGCTTCTTCGCTGAATCGATTGGCCTAACATAAAAAACAACGTTAGACGCCTATCTGTTACTTTACTTACCTGTTACTCCATTTATTATATTACCTGTAATATTAGTTACTCATTGTTAGTTAATTTTAGTGTCTAAACTGGCTGTAAAAACTGGTTTGTAAATATTTTGCCATTACTGCTCGGACTACGAAGAAAGATTTTGTATTTTCCTGTTTCTCGTATTGCAGGACTTGCTACATCAGATATTTTTACTAGTAATTACTGCAACTGGCATCACATATATATCACCACTGTGTCCGAAATAAACCTCAGCCTCCTCACTGGCAATTATGAAACATGGCATATCGAACATCTTACTATCCGAACACTGCGGGTGGCATTTCAAATATCTTACCTGCCAAGCACCATAAATGGAACAAGAGATACCCCGCCTTACAAACAGCACAGGTGGCCTGCAAGGTTATTCACCTGTCGTTCAGCATAGTCAGCCTGCCAGCCTGTCAAATGGCCCATCAGTGCAGAATTGTAGTAATTTGCTAATGACGGCGACAAACTTGCAGTCGATGGCCGTATCGCTGCTGCTAACGAGCTCGTTGTTCCCAGGGAAGCGATGTTCTGTAGTGAGCTGGCTCCAGGCAGTGCTGGGCTTGGGGACGGGGTATCACGACTGACAGAGACATAGCACAGTGTGTTAGAACTACGATACAAAATACTGGGTTGCCTCCAATCACTGAAGAACACAATTATAACTAGAAAGGGCAGTTGTCGCCAACTACATGTATCCCCCGTGTTCTCCCCAAGATGTGTAAGTATACGAAGTTTGGTCACGCTGGGTCAATTAGGGGCCGAGTTATAGAGCAGAAGAGAAATATGATGAAGGTCAAGGTCAATGTCAAATAAAGGTTGCAGTGACCATGGTTTTCGGTACGCGACACACGCTTCTCCAAGATGTGTAAGTTACCCAAAGTTTGGTGGGCGCTAGGTATTAGGGGCCAAGTTTACGGCGCGGAAAGAAATATGATCAGGTCAAAGTAAAGTCACATAAAGGTCGTAGTGAACCTGGTTTTTTGTAACGCGTACACACCTTCTCCGCCCAGATGTGTAAGTATACCCAAGTTTGTAGGCTAGAGTCAATATAGGAGGCGAGTTTATAGAGCGAAGGGAAATATGAATGCACAAGTCAAGTAAAGGTGCAAGAATAAGGTCGTAGTGAGGCGTGGTTTGTAAGCGCTAAGGGTCAATTAGGGCCGGTTATAAAGCAGAGGAATATGATCAGGCGTCACTGTATAAGGATCTAAATAAGGTCGGCAGTGACACTGGTTTTGGTAACGCTGCGCACTTCTGCGCAAGATGTGTAAGTATACCAAGTTGGTGCACGCTAGTCATTAGGGGGCGGCGTTTAGTTATAGAGCGGAAGAGAGAATATGATCATAGTCAAGGTAAAAGGTCAATAAAGGTCGGCATGTGACGTAGGTTTTCGGGTAAGGCGCTGCCACCTTCTCCCCAGACGTTGTAAGTAGAGCCAAAGTTTTGGTCAGGGCTAAAGTCAATTAAAGGGGCCGAGTTATATGAGGGGGAAGGAAAATATATGCAAGGTGCAAAATAAAGGTCGCAGTGAACCTGGTTTTAGGTACGGCTGCCACGGCTTCTCGCCGGACAATGATGTGTAATGGTAAGAGCGAAGTTTGGTAGCTAGTCTAATTAGGGGTCGAGTTATAGAGCGGAAAGGAAAATCTCTGCGGCGGACCGAGCGGTGGCGGCGGCTGTACAGACATGAAACCATAGTATCCCCACCGACTTCGTCGCGGGGGATACAATAACTACCAAAAACAATAATGTAAAAACGGTTCGTTGACGTTCTTTCACAGCAATCACACACAACATTGCATCTGCACTGGTGAATGTAAATGCTGCGAGTACATAACGGTTAGCAACTTACCCAGATGTCCCTCGGCTAGCTTCGGATGGGCTTCTGTAGGCATCATCCTCTCCCGGGTCACCTGTGGGCAGAGGTATCATGTGTACTGGAGGTGGGGCGCCAGCTGGTCGAGGCGAGATGTGCGAGACACTCTGAGACGGCAGTGGGTGCGACGACATTACTGAAGTATGTGCACCACCTAAGCAGTAAAAGAACATATAAGTGATTCGTTTAAACATGCACAGTAATACGTTGGTACCAACCTGCATTTAACATAGAGACATGGAGTGTGTTCACCATTTGGTAACATTGATATATAATAATGACACCAAGCCAGATGACAAGACTGATTTTCTTGATGACAAACTGATCAAGGGAAAGACGAACAAATTCGCATCAACATTTACGATGAATAATAGTGAAACATCGTTTATTTATCAAAATCAACACATTAAGAGGAAAGCGACACGACTAAATTGCAAGCAATTAAAAACCTGTATGTTGATAACGTGAGTTGCATTACCTGCTAGGTTTACAAGCCCGCCTTGCAATTGAAAACGGTTCATGAACTTACTTGTTTGCTGTGAGAACAGTAGAGCCTGCTGTATCGTCTGCAGAGCTGTAACAGAAAAACATAACTTTTATTTGTCATGAATCATCAAATAAATTATAGAAAAGTGAGATTGTACGACCTCAATATGTGGCTCTGGCCTCAGTTACCCTCTCAGAGGGATGTTAATAGGACTTTCTTACTCTTCGTCTTCCACCCAACCACCAAAGTGAGCGATTAGCCTCCAAAAAGAAGCCAACAAAATATGATCACTAAAGATTAATTAGCTAGCTATTTCAAAAGCTAGGTGCCATCACAGCTCAGAACTCAATAAAGTATATGATTAGTGGCCATTATTCGCGTGCGCACCTTCTTGAGCTGTGATTTCGTGCTTGCCGGCGCTGGTGGCCAGCTGAGAGATGATCTGGGCCGCGACCGCCGCATGTGCTGCACCGGCTAACGTGTCGCGCATCTCCGTCGGAGTGCTGCCTGGTGACATCGACAAACTGCGCGGATCTGTCGCGAAAACAATAGCACGTAAGAGATATCACGCTCGTGTCATATCATGTCTCGTCAAACATTTTCAAGTCTTTTTACGGCTAACGCAGTTTCACTCGGAACAAGCTAAAAGATGAAATTGACAATTTAAAAGTACCAGTTAGCTAAAAGTGCAAATCAAAACCGAAATTGATTAGGAGTCTGTTAATTTTAATTAGCAAATTTATTGGCGAAGATGAGGTCTAGTGCAAAATGCCTATTGGGGCTTTCACGATACCAGTAATCTTTATGAAATTTTTTAACGATTGCACATATGGAGATGCACACCTATGTTTGGTTCGCATTCACAATGAATTAACTCGCAAATCTAGGTGATCTGCGCACTGGTGTCGCAGGATCTGCTCCTCAAGACGTCAAGTAACTACAAGTATACATCATGGATATAACATAGCAAGAGAACCAACCCTGGTTGCCCGATGAACACCGTTGGCGTGATCGCTCCACCTCCTGCGCTTGAGCATGCGCATGAGACATCCGGTGGCCTGAATCGCTGTTTTGAGATAGCGAATTGTTTCTATGCTGTCTTGAATGTTCTGCTGGTCTTCTGTCACTGGAATGTTTCTCTGAAATTCGACAATTGTTGTAAGCTAGCGTTAATCATCCCTTCTGCGATAATAAACATTTCCAAAAGCTTCAGTGCAAGGCTACACTCAGGGCTGGCTATTACATTTTAAAGCCAAACAGTAATACACTTACATATTTAATTAATTGCCATTCAAAATTATTTTTTAGAATCATTGTGAGAAAGTCATAGTTGAATCTGTCTCTTGTTTGGCTTATACAATCTTGAATTAAGCATTTATTTTCTTCATAACTCAACAACCCAAAGAACAGATGAGATTCAATTAAGATTTAACAACTAACCAGGAATACTAAGCTCTACTGTCAGAATAGTTTCAGTGAAACTCCATAGCAATAACTGAGTCTGACCATGTGATTACCTTCTCCTTGGTTATATTTTTTCACTACTTACCATGCCTATCAGTATGGGAGTAGCCTCTACTCAATTCCTTCATCTTTGGATCTGGCAGCTCAAGCGGCGTGTTGCTAGATGTCGTGGGCCTAGAAAATAATAAAAAACTGTTAAAACTTCCTCACGTAGTGTCAGGGGTAGAAATTAGTTTGAAAATTTACAGGCCAGCCGGGCCTGTAGGTACAGGATTTTCCAGGCCCGCCAGGCAAATTTTACAGGCCGGGGACAGTTTTGCATGCTGGGGGTAGATTTTCCACGGGCCCGTCGGGCTTGCTAGTATTAGAATTGTCAGGCCCGAGCCTTAAAATACGGGTATCGGCATCGGGCCCGCGGGCCCCTTAGGATTTCGACCCATGAGTGTGATTAGGTAAAGGTAGCAACAGCACAACCACAAATCCAATGTCATCACTAAACCCACATCACACACAATCGGCTGCCAATTGCGAACGTACCCAAACGGATTCTCTCCAGTCGTTATCCACCGGTTTATCCAGTCTTTGGGCTTTTCCCACTGCGATACTTCAGTCTTACAATTGTAGTAATACTTCTTACCCGAAGAGCTGATTTGCTCAGACCAGTCACCGAACGTCTGCAACAGCGAAACGATGTTGATCGCAATGTAGCCTCACCAAAGACCCACTGAAACCACTCGGAAACAAAAACTTGATCTGATTTACTAAGACTACATACTCTGTATTACAGTACTGATCCTGTGCCCTTCTGAAGTCACAATCACCTCACTTCTCAGCCTACTTAGCCAATTTAAAGTGCCTTTTGTTCCTGCCACCTTTTGTTCTAATTGTGGGGTTGTATTTCAAGCAACCTCCTCCTAGTTTGCATCATTTCCAAAACCATTCTTACTAGGAGATTGAGAATCAGGCAACAGGCAGCAGATAGAATATCACAGCAATGAAACTCACACCAAACGATAAAATCACTAAATGGTGCACACTGATGGAAAAAACATTTCCCCACCATGTGTACACGAGGTTAGAAAACCTCTTGATCAGTGGACACAGAACGTTTTTCAAAGGCAGGTTTATCTAAAACTGTATTACTTTTAAGAACCAGGTAAACATACCCATTATATTGGCAATAATCTCATAGAGAGTAAAACATGTATATCACGCATCCTTTTGAGAATATTTCTTATCTGGGAATTAAATCTTAATTCTCACTCAACAGATACATGGCAAGATTTGCCATAATCACTATTCAAAACACGCCCTTCCTCCTAGCACACCGGCACACGTAGCTACACACAATCATGGATGAACACATGCAAGATGCACTGAGACATACACAGCTCACACAGCCATCACCCATGGTCTCACACATGTATGCACACAATAACACTGAATACTCACTTCAAGCTTGGTCCTGTCATGATTTGTATTGCGGTTGTCATTGACAGCCTTTGGTGTTAAGTGGTGACTGCTACTTGTCTTGCTATCTAATTTGCCACTGTTATCTGTAATTAAAATTAAATAAAAAATAAATTATGTATATAGATTTGCATTCTTTCTAATTCAATGTTCAAAAACAGTTCAAGAACATCTTAATATTGGTACATGGTAGCATGCAATTAATTCATTTCCCCATGCAAAACTGGTAAAAAAAAGCAACCCATCTATTTCACAGCACTTACTATTCTACACTAATAGATTGTAAACAATTAAGCCTACTTTAAAGATATATTTCTATAATGTCTATCTTACTTAAAAATTACTAGCATAGTCAATACCTGAACATTTGCAATATATAATATATAAATCAAGGTTCTCCCCAGAAATATCAGAAAGCGCCATGTCGAACTATCAGTCAGGCACTTCATACCTGATTGCTAACCATGCATCAATCAATTATGCGTGTCATAATTGTCCCCAATGAACTCACACGAACACGAGACTCAGTCAGTTTTGGGACGTATATATAAAGCTAAAAACACAGCATGGCTGTGGTGGGATTGTCAAAAGTAAGAGATGAAAATTAAAGCATGTGGGAGGATTTATTGGAAGACACAAACTAGCTTCAGCTTAAAGGAATGTTTTTTTTACCTATCTTTTCAATGAATCACAGAATAACCCACTGAAGCCCCTACATTAAATTTAATGCTCTTCTAGCTATAGATTTCTGACATAAAACTACTTCTATACTTCCACATTTTTTACCATTAAGTATTTATAAATAATATACAAAAAATCATCATTATAGTGATCAACACCTTGCTCTACACCTCTATGTATACTATCAGGAGTAGATAATAGAAGATTCTTCTATTATCTACTCCTGATACTATGTACAGTTAGATGGAAAACTTGGGGACTGCACATAGAAAAATGTGTCAAATTCTTTACCTAGTCTCAAGCCTGTATATACATATATATATACAGGGCTCTCTCTGGACATTTTAAAGTTTGAGCCAAGACTTGGTGAACCACCAGTTATTTTTTAGCCACAAATGAAAAACTATAGACACTGTTCACTTTATCGCATGTGCTATAAAGCAATGCATAAACAGTTGATGGGTATGAGGTGTACAAAAACATTTTATGACACGACACTGCAATTTTGACGATTCCATTAGTCAATCGTAAGTTTGTGAGCAGTTAAATCGTTCGCCAATTGTATTCGCCACAGTATACGTAGTAAAATTGCCACTGTTATCTATTTATCGCATTTTGCAAAACCGGTGTGCGAGATGCGACATGGGTAGCCCGGTGTAGTATATATATATATATCAATTATATATATATATATATATATATATATATATATATATACACATAGAGATAGATAGATAATTTACCTAATCTATATAACACTTATATGATTTCTCAGGAAGACATCATAATGTATGTTTATCATAATTATGTTTGAGAACTAATAATGGGGGACACCACCAATTTCTCTACATGCTATATCATATTAACACTTACAGCATATTTTTAAATAATAATGTTTAAAACGTTATATAATTTATGACATGTTTCACTTCTTTTTTTCCTAATTTTTTTTTTGATATTTTCATTTATCACTAAATACTATTTAACTATAAATATTTCCATTTAGCATACACAATTTAAATATGTGTATATTCTAACTGAAACTAAATTTAATATAAAAAAATGCAGTTGGTAATTTATATGTAATTTCAACCTTGCGCAATTCAACCACATTAGGGGCGACACAAGTACTGGTACAACCTGCACTTTTACCATACGATTAATGACAGTTTAATACTACAAAATTCTATATTTTTATATATATTCTTAAACTGTACATAATTTGTTAACCTAGTTCAGGTATTCGTTAAGGTATATTGCACTACTACCATTAATATACATAGCATTCATAGCCATAACATTATACCATGACCATTTCCTCTACTTTTGAGCTGCTCTCGGTCTTTTTCCTTTTCACGTTCTCGTTCCTTCTCTCGTTGCCTCTGGGCATATGAGGACTTGTGATGATATGAATGTGGACTTCTGGAGTCTTCCTTGCTAATAGGGCTGTCAGCTTTTCGAGCCGGAGTTCCATTATTTGTTGGACTAGCATACTTCCCCAGACTCTGAAGATCAATTGAAAACACGTTTACTGGTGATAAAAGTAGTACAATATTGACTAAATTTCTCCCATACAATTTCACTTTGTCTTTGACTGTCACTCTAGAGAATATTTTCCAAAGATAAATATTCGAATCCTCTGATATATGAATGAAATCCCAAACTATATACAGCGAAATCCCATTTGGCGTTACCTTGATCTGATGGGTTTCTAACGATTCATGATACCTGAAATGAGTAAAAATGTCAACATCACATGATTATAATAATATCAGGTCAAACCAGTAACTCAACAATAACATAACATTATTTCCAAACTCTGCAACAAAAAACAAGCAAGTGAAGATAACTTGTAACTGTGAGACGTTGTTATGTAATAAAATTTAACAGGTTTTATATTATTATTACTATTACTATTAGTATTAGGCCTAGCTATCTCTCAATCACAAATTATCTTCATCAACAAAGTTTGTAGTACTGACTGTATCGCATACACGTCCCTTATTTTGAGTACACAATATAGCCATTTACCCATCGCTGAGTCTTGGAATTTTCCTTGCATGCATTACCATCAATGCAAGTATAATGTTGGTCAGGGTAAATATTGTATTTGTATACGATTGGGACCAAAATAAACTTTAATTGTCAGAGAACATAAGATTACGACGATGACAGATGGACGCCATGACACATACGGGTACTTATCACTTTATTTCCGACTTCTGCCGACAGAGAACGCAGAGCGCATCCGCAAATATCAAAACATCAAAACAAGACAAGCAAAGCAGCCCCTTTGCTCATTCAATTCATTTCACGTGCTCCTAAATTATTAACTATTTTTATAACTCATCAATAGTTGCCATATCATTTTCTTCTGTACTGTATTGGAAATATTTAGCTATCGTACTCGTTGCGTGTAATCAGTCAGTCGGAAAATGAACTCTTTACTTAGCTGTGAGTGTGAGTGTGAGTCTGACTGTCAGGCTGAGTCAGCATGACATTGCAAGACACGCCAAAGGCAGAGGTGAATCCTGAAGTTACGGCAGTTTGAGCCTGGATGCTTTGATCATAAGCTTGTCACTGTCATGGAAACAGAACTTGACACTACTGAGACCGAGATTGATAATGTGGCAGCATCTGAACACTGTCACTGTGGGTACGTAGATGTGTATGCATGTTACGGCCCGTAGCCAGGGGGGGTTCGGGGGGTTCGAACGAACCCCCCCCCTAGCAAAAATAAAATTTTGTTGAAAATTTGCAAGAATTTCACCTCAGGTCGCTCCATTTTAGTGTAATAATTGCAAAATCTCCATCGTGCGGGAGGGTGAACAGTGAACACCCCCCTCCCACACCCTCCCCCCGCTCGGTCGCTTGGCTCCCTCGCCTGGTCGCTTCGCGCCCGAGCAGGGGCGTGTACAGGGGGGGTCCAGGGAGTCCAGACCCCCCCTTGCTCGCGCAGAAAACGCATCTGAGGGGGTGTAATTTTAAAAAAGACCCCCAGACCCCCCCTTCGCGTGCTCTAACTTTGGGTTACGGTTTGACCCCCCCCCCCCTGGTACAAATCCTGTACACGCCCCTGCCGAGCAAATTGCTAACATTGAAAAACGAACCCCCCCAACATAAAGCTGGCTACGGGCCTGCATGTACTTGCACTAGGGCCGTACTCCTCACACTGTAGACTGTAGTGTAGGGCGTGTACGGTACTATTAGTATTACTATTAGTATTAGTATTACTCCCAGGGTCTATGTCTCCCTGGGTACTGCCGGAACGTACCCTGGGTACGGTCCGGTATACCGGAACGTACCCTGGTACTATCTTAGTAATATGCCGGACCGTACGGCGTAACTCGCCTACTCCACTAACGAGTCTAGGGAGTCGCCTACGCCTACTCCCTAACCTTAACCCTAACCATATCAGATGGTTACTAGGGTACGTTCCGACAGTACCCAGAGTGACATAGACCCTATCAGCATTAGTATTACTGTATAATATGATTTATTGATTATGAATGTGATATATTATTAATATTACTTTAATACTTGTGCTTCTAGTTCAACTATCGGTACTATATGGCGATATATCATGCAGTGATATTTAAAATGATTGATTTCTCTGTCATTCATTTTATATATATAACTTATAAACTTGGTTGAGTTTTTGAAGAGTGCTTTATTTAGATTTTTCGTGTGTATTATGTGTATATCATGTCATCAGAAGTTATTCATCTTGGGTATTTTTCCAAACACTTCTTTGACAAGGACATGACTAATCGTTACTATATAGTATATATAGTGCTTGTCATGGAATAGTGTGAGAAGTTAGAGGAGGGGAGAAGGGGGAACAGATAGCAATGAAGATTCAAGAAGGTAGCAAATATTTATATTTATATGGATATGGAGAATGGGAAGGTGGAAGAGGTAGAGAAGAGGAAGATAGGAGAAGTGGAGGAGAGGAAAATTGAAAATATAGAGCCTATAGGGGAGGAAGGTAGTCCTGAGAGGTAAAGGAGTGAAAGATGGAAGAAGTAGAGGCAAGCAAGGTGGTAGACGTAGAGGTAGAGGAGGGTAACTAATTGTAGGAGGTAGGGATGGCACAGAATATGGATTATATGGAGGTCTTTCTCTATCCCCTCTTACACCTTCACCTCTTTCACCTCTTTCACCTCATCCTCTGCCTTAGTCAAACCTCCTTTACCTCACCCCTGTACATACTCCCCCTCCCCTTCTAGCTCCTCCAACTTCTTGCTATCCTATACTTCTCCATCTTTCCCACATTTTCTTTCTGCTTTACCTTGGTCAACAACAACAATAAATCTTTAAGTGATATTCAAAGATGCATTGTTAATAAAGCTTTTTATATGTGTGGTTAGGATGTTGAAACCCACAACAAAGATCGCACATCTACTATTCCCATGAATCTACTTTTAAAAATATTGAATATTATACATCTGCTGGTATCGTTGTCACAGCTGCTACGAGAATTTGGTTGTAATAATTTAATGTGCACTTAAAATCCTTCAGGAAACTAGAAAAGAATGTGGATAGGAGGCAAAGACAAGACAGGCTTTTCCTCTGGCATGGCTGTCAATTGGACTGTATGCCGAATTGCTATTCACAATTAACATCAAAGAGCATCATTCAGGTGTCGTGCAGCAACACGCACATATTTGTTCTTACATCTGATGGCCAGCTGTTCAGTGTCAGCAAGACACAGCAAGGGCAGCTTGATTTCGAAAATGTACCGACTGTGCCGGATCCTCGTATCATCCCAGCTCTCAGCGGCCGCTTTGTGACTCAGGTTGACTGTGGTTTAAGCCACTCGGCATGCGTGTGTGATCATGGCGATGTATTCTGCTGGGGCTCGTCTTCGTTCGGGCAGTGCGGCACTGAGGCGCGACTGGTGCCGGTACCCCGGCAAGTGCTCATAGTGCGCAAGGCGCAAAAGTGCAAGCACGGCGTAATGCGGAAGGGAGATGTGGTTGCCGCCCAGCAGGTGGCCTGTGGCAGCAAGCACACGATGGCGGTGTCTGCACAGCACGAAGTATGGGTGTGGGGCGAAGGCATAGCACTGGGACTCACCACAGTTAAGCGGACGTTGAAACCGAGGAAGATAGACTTCCTCGATGGCGAAAAGGTGCTGTCGGTCGCGTGCAGCGCCGAACACTGTCTCGCGATTGTCGAGAAGGTGAGGGACTGCAAGGAGACGTGCGCGTATCCGGTCGAGCACCCCAACCGCGTGTCGACCTGCTCCATCTGCGACGGGGAGTACTACACGGTGAGGGACGAGCGGGACACGGTGGTCATCAGTGGCAGTCACGTCTGTCCCCTCGGCTTCGCGGTCAAGGAGCGCGCGGCCATTGGCGGTCGGCAGCAGAGCGTTAGCACCGAAGACCTCTCTGTTGGCACAGCCCGCACACTCGTGCGACTCATGAGTGCTAGCGACGAAGACTTGAGAACTTTGCGGGGGAAACTCGGTGGCAAGTTGCCGCCATTTCAAGCTAGCGAAGATGCGTCGACCGACCACCAGAACGAGGGAACTTCGAAGGTTTCCTCATTGGAGGATGTCGTATGTAATTTGGCAGGTGCTCTCAATTTAGAAACTACATCTGACGGGCCGACTGAAGCAGATGCCATCACGGATCGCGAAACGGGTGTTGCTGGAAGCTGTGAGGAAGACAATGATGCCACTGCCTGCGTGAGCATGTGCGTGCCGGCCATCGCTGCGGAATCGGACGTGAGTCACGATGTCGTGGCTGAAGCAATGGCTGCGGTTGATGCAGATTCACAGCCGCTTCAAGAGCCGCAATGCGAAGGTCGTAGGTCATCATCGGCATTCATCGACGGCAAGGCAGCACGTGAGTTTCTCGCGAGGCAGTTGTCTGCCGACAGCTACAAGTCTCTGCACAAGACACTCGGTGCCGTTATGAGCACCGTGCCGGTGTCTCAAGGTGTGAATACGGTCGAGTTTGTCAAGGACAATGTGAACTTTATTACGACGCAGGTGAAGGACAACGTTAATTACCTGACGACACACGTCATGAGCAGTGTTCCTAGGTGAGCAGGGGCCCGTTGTCAGAAACATCGTAAAGTTAATGCTGAAGTTAATGCTGCGATAACACTTACGACTAATGCTAATGTTGTGAGACTAGCGTTGACAGAAACACATCGCAGTTATTAGAAAACTTACGATAACAGGAACTTCATCACAAGGCTGCTGATTGGATGAGAATCAATCACAAAATTCAAATTCATACACATTTATTGTACATCACAGTAATTTATGCATATTATGATGGCTAACCACATATAAATAATATTTGATGAAAAACGACGTGGTCATGAATTTATTCTGCACAACAAGACAAATTCTCACACTAGACGCGAGACGCGAGAGTCGTGGCAAGCGTGGAAAACCTTTAGAACAAGAGAACAAATGCCATACGCCATTTGTAAATGTATTGTTTTGTTTTATTAGTGGTAGATAATTAATGATTTTGACGTGTTTTTCAAGAAAAACACACATTTTATTCATTATTATATAATATAATATCACTATAATTGTAATTCGTAGTGTAAATGTGTTATTTTCAATTTAATATTAAAGTTACGAGAGGGTCTGGGCTGTCGTAATGTTATGAGGAAATTTCCGAGGATTTTTCGTTCTCGTAACCTTACGATGTTTCTGTCAACGGTTTACGAGTGGAAGTTAATGGTAAGACTAATGTTGCGACTAATTTTGTTTCTGACAACGGCCCCCAGGTATAGTATCTATATATATTAGAGTATGTATAGTTTCTTTTTGTAGGTGCATGTAATTGCTTTTACGAAAAGATGTCAGAGAATATTATCATTAGTTTTAAGTATCTATATAAGTGAAAGACTTCTAGTCATAATAATTGGCATAAATTAAGTAATGCTTACAAATATTTCTGCCCCTGTCAATGAACTAAACATTGTTTTTTTTTAAAGATTAATTATATGTGTAAAAACACTTAATGTTTAATAGTGTAGTAAGAGTGGTGGTTTTCTTTGATTCCTGACAACTGGCCCCTGGATGTTAGACCTACTACAGTAGCTACGTTCTGATAAATTCCAACCTTGTGATTCGATGGATGGATAGAGCTTGATCTTTATGCACTGTGTATATATAGGTGTTGATCAAGGGCTTAGAAATGGCATCTTGTTATCATATTCTGCTAGCTTGTCTTTACTTGTAAGTGTATTTGCTGTACTTGTTAAGATATATTATCTTTGTTATTAGGTTAAACTTCTTCTCTGGACGTAGTGCTAGAGACAACATCTCTTTATCATCATCTAATGCTGAGATGGAGATGCTCACAGATGATGATGGCTTCAGTGAAGGAACAGATTCATCAACCCCACCACAGGTCTGTGTATATATAGTCTGAAAGTAAAATAGTAGGGTAGGGCTAGTACTGTGGCTGTACTGTGGCTAGTACTAGTATAGTGGCTGTGACCTTGCACCAAAATAGTTTGATTCTTGATGCAGCTTATCATCACTGATAGAAGATAGTTCTCTTATATTTACTGATCATCTATATATATAGAGTATGCACAGTTAGGCAACTATTGAATCGTTTCTCGATTGTCCTAGCTCAACCGAGAAGTAATAAATAAGCCCACACAAAATTGTTATGTCATAGGCCTATATTTGCTTTCCTATTCTATAGGCAACCCTAATAGTTTCTTGCCTACAACCCTATACCTGGCATGCTAATAAAATAGGTTCTACCATAATAGTGTATAATACGTGCTCACATGCAGAATATGGTAATTCATTTGATAGCCATGCTTGGCTAATAGTTGTGGTAATGCTTATAGAGTGTTCGTGTACTGTAAGAGGCACTATTTGATTCTAGTTTCTCACACAATATCTTTAATATAATTATGCAATCTCATTATCATATTTGAAGCAAAGATTTTGTTTTCCCAACAGTTTTCATATTTTCCCAGCTGTGCTGATACGCGCTGCATGGTACACTTTGCATACTGTAAGGCTAACATGTCTTAGAACACTCACACATTATATTCACTTATCTGTTTATACGTGTCAACATTAATACTAATAGCAAGTTATTATTGTATCTCACGAGTTGCCATTGAAACGTAACACATAACGTGCACTTGTTTGGTAGCAGTAATTTCATATTTCATTTTCGGAAATCTCAGGAATCGCAGGTGTAAGTTTGCTGTTCATTTGTTGGTTTATAACCTATAGCAGCATAATCTCGTAGTAACTTTTATGCTGGAGCAATCCGTAGTATGTCCACCAACAGGTAAGACCAATTTGTCTACATGTATGAATTTTTCCATTTATTTTGGAGATAATAATTTTAATATTATCGTGTATATGGATTATTGCAGTCAACACCAGAGAAGAAAGGGTTGTTTACGAAAGCAGGAAGGTGTAGGAGACATATTGCTCTTCATACTGAAGTGTGGAGTTGGGGAAAAGGTGGCTATGGTCAGCTGGGACATGGGGATATGTTAGACAGGTGAGTCACACTGTGATTTCCATAACGTTCGAACATAATCGTCCTAACACCTTTTATGTTCTCATAGCAATTGTGTGGATCCGAGAGTGAAATTGTGTTGTACACCACTTCTATTTTCTTAAAATATAAAAAAAACAATGCAATACTGATTCACGCTTTATTTACAATAAAGTGACATATTGTTTGCATAACATCCGATCATGCCTCATGACATGGCAGGAAGTGTATTTATAGTCAGGATGCCGTGGGAGCTAGAATCATAGCAGAATAACGTTAAAGGAATGCACGTTCTCGTGGGAGATTGACCTACCTAAATGTACGTCTGTCAGGCCTCAACCATGTCTAGTGCGATCACTGGAAGGGAAGAATGTGGTGAAGGTAGTAGCTGGAGAGAGGCACTCGCTCGCCCTGACTGCTAACTGTGAGGTGTTTTCCTGGGGCTGCAACCGGTACAAGCAACTCGGTTACACTGAGTCAATAGCTGGCTACACCATGTCTCCCCGGCAGATAACAGTAAGTAGGTAGAGTTAAGGTCTTGATATACTAAATTTGTATGTAAGTTGGCACTGTCAGTGTGTCATCTCTATGCCTTGGTAATGAAATAAGGAACTTGTAGTTGTAGTATTTGTCAGACAGATTCTTTTCACTTCATTATATTCTGCTCTGATATCACTGAACATCTTTCTTATGAAATCAGGAGTGAAAAAAACTTAATTTGTTTTTATTTACTTCTAATTAAATGTGTAATTTAAAATTGTACTCTATTCTACAGATGTTATTTTTTCGTTTATCACTTTTTTACTCTATTCTAGTTTTCTTTGTTTCAATGTTCAAAATTTGTTGAATATTAAAACTCACATATGAAACAGCTGCGGTCTGCGTAAGTATTTTTCCAAAGAGCAAAAACAAGTTCGATTCGTTTACTGACTGCAGTTTCGCACAAAGATGCTCGTGTGGGATGTTGCGGCCGGAGCGCGTCACTCCTTGCTGCTGGCCGATGGAGAGAATGCCCAACCACAGGTTCTCGTCTGCAGCAAGGAGGCAGGTGACCAACATGGAAGCAAGCTGAAGTCTAGGATGACCGGCCCTGTCGGTTGCACAGGATTAGAGAAGGTATGTGACGTGCCCAAAAAAGACGTGCATAAATTGTGTGTGGTTGGCAGCAAGGACTCCAGTGAGTTTTATCTGGGTGATTCATTTGCCTGTGGTGAACTTGCCTTGGTTTGTTAACTGTGCTTATTACCTTCTCGTGGTGAATTTCATTAGTAATAATTTACATATATATATAGCAGGCAAATGAGCATGTTTGCAGTTTCATGTGGAGGTTTTGAACGTGCGTTCTAAATGATTTGTGCATTCACTTGAAGAGCGTATGTGTTGAAATCATCAAAGATTATACAAAACGTTTTTTTATCAACTAAGAAATATTTGCACAAAAGTATTTTCACGTTTTCTTAGGAAATAATTAAAAAGGGTATCACGATAGCAGTTTTAGTGCCAGGTTAGGTCAATGCGATAAACATTGGAGCCTTCACAACAGTAGGTCCTTCCAATACCTTGTAACACCACCGTATTTACACACACATCAACAACTTCTTTTGCGCTTCTCAATGCAGGCCTAAATACCTCTCATCCCAAATGCCTCCTAGCTGTTGATGTTTGGCGTCGTAACTGTTGCAGAGCTGCTGGTGCAGGCAGGTGTTTGCCGGCAGGGAGAGCAACGCTGTACTGGCTCACCATGATGAAGGAGGCGGGCTAGTGGCTACACTGCACGAGTTTGCTGCCACCGAACGACTGTGCTACCACAGGATTCATGCAGTTGTTAACACGTTAGTGCTGCCACTGATCCGTTCCGGTAAGGTTCCATAGGTTTTCTTTCTCTGTCACTCTGTCTGTCTCTCTCTCTCTCTCTCTCTCTTTCTCTCTCTCTCTCTCTCTCTCTCCTCTCTCTGCTCTCTCTCTCTCCTCTCTCTCTCAAATCTCTCTCTCTTCTCTCTCTCGTCTCTCCACACTAACGCCCTTCCCCTCTCTCCTTCCAGTCCCTCGTCCCCGTCTGTCTACTCTCTCCTAACTCTCTCTCTCTCTCTCTATCTCTCTCTCTTTCTCTGTCTATGCGCCCTTCCTCCCTCCCTTCCTCCTCCCACTTCTTTCCTCCCCCTCCCTACCCCCTCTCTCTCTTTCTCTTTTTAGTTCATTATCTTTCTCTATCTATCCCTCCCTCCTTGTATCCCCTCCCTCTGCTACCTCCCTCCCCCTCCCTTCCTCCCTCCCTCCCTCAGAGTGAAATTAAGGTGATGGGGTTCTTGTTGAACAATGTGGATGGCACAAAGCTAATGCAGTAGTTATGTAATCCTGCATATTCATGCAGTGGTCTGCTCAATTATACACTGTACAAGATTATAAGACATAGACAGAGAGCAGACTGCTGTTGTATCGTTGTTGTAGTTGTTGTTGTTGTTGTTGTTGTTGTTGTTGCACCTTATAATTCTGGATTATTTTATCGTTCAGACATGTTTCATCCGATCGAAAAGTCTCGCCATGGACCTCCATTAAAGGAAATGTTGACCTGTCTGCAAGCCCTTGCTGACTTCATTGGTAGAAATGTGGTTTCAATAACGCGGGTAGTGACGACAGGGGAGAACATTCTTGGCACGCCAATATTCAAGTAACGTATATTGTCCTGCCATTGCATAATTACAGTGCAGTAAATACTGACGTAAGGAATTCATTAGCCTCCTAATATTATCACCGGTACGAATACTACTATTATTACAAAATGTTGAAAGTATAGTTCTGGTATGATTGAACGATTTGCAAGTATTCTTGATCTATTACGTAAGGTGAGATAAGAGGTAATGTTTTGTCCTGATATGTTTTCAGTGAGACGAAAGCCTACATTTCCGTGTTCTTCCGCTTTGTCGACAAATATGCCGATGTTATTTCCATGGATGGTTTTAACTTTTGCACAAAACATGCAAGGTATTATGTTATTTATGTTGCATGTTGTGGACTATAATGTGACTTTAAGCAATCCATAAATTTAATTAAAAAATTAATTGATGTCTTAGCGATATGTCATTGCATTACACTGTTATATGTTCTTCTTTGATGATTTTGTAACCCTTTCCCTGCCTGCTTGACAATAGACAGGTACAGACTGTGATTGCGAACTTATATAACATTTACCATAAAAATTGTGATGTCGCGTTTCTGCACTGTAGATGGAAAATAGTATAAATTGGGATAAATCTGCTAACAAGTTAAATGTTACTTTAGAGCTTTTACCAGAATTGTTGGTAGTGTGTATTTGGTCTCACACATTATGTATGTATGCATTACAGGCCTTATTTCGAGAAACATGTTGCATTGGCAGCAGAGCTGCTAGGCACAGCTAAGCTAGAACACACGGACCTGCAACTACTTCTCTACCTCCCATGTCACCACCTGGTGGAGGAATATAAAACGTCAATTGGGAAACTAACTGTGCATTTTGATAATGTATGTGGTGACAGATCTATGTGCAATTTGTCGTGATTGAATCGTTTACTCATTTATAATTTATTTTGCGATTGTAGGACTTCGTTATATTATCATTTTTTATCATACAGACTGAAAATTTGATCCTACATCAAACTAGGCCCGGCCAGGCTCGGACTAAATTTTTGCGGTGCAAATATCTACAGTAGTAAATACGCGCTTTCACTTATAGGAAGGTCACACTGCAAAGCATTTGAAGGAGACACAGGTCCAACTTGACAAAGTGAAAGAAAAGCTAACCACAGTGCTAAAGTCTGCAGAGAAAACAAAGAAATTTTGGGATACCACACCTTTTCGGTTTGTGGTATGGACTTGTGTTATATGACATTTTATCCTTCTGCTCCCCTTGCCTTGACATCGTCAAGATGAGCTATTGCCATGGGGCGTTGTCCGTCGTTCGTCCGTCTGTCCGTCTGTCCATCTGTCCGTCAACATTTGGCTACGGTCAACGATAACTTGATAACCTTTTGACCTATATGTTGCAAATTGCATATAGTTGTTACTCCTATGGGAGAGGTTTGAACGTTCTATTTTGGAGTACGCCAGTTGACCTATTTGCGAGCCACGCCCACTTTTTGGCAAAAATGGAAATAACCATAAGTCAGTTCAGGTTCGATTGGTTTTGCTCATTTTTGGTATGTGAATAAATAAGGACTGGCCCCAAAACATATCACAGGGCTTTTGATTTTTTTTTAATTATGCAAATTAGGTCGATTTGGGAAATTTTACTATGCATTTCAGTGTTTGCCTACGGCCAACGATAACTCAAGAACCGTTTGACCCACATGTTGTAAAAAAACGTTTTACCGTAACTTGTAGTATAACAAACTACGTACCTTATATTATTTCATTTTATCCAGGGGAATTTTGTTATACATGACACCACAATCACCGTACGTACTGCTGTATAGCCGGTGAGCTTACAGATATGTGACTGCTACATTATTGCTGTTAACAGGAAACGTATCAGACACCAACAAGGCGGCTGTTGAAGGACAGCAAGACATGTGTTGTGAGTCTGTATCCGGCTGGCGGCTTCATGTCTTCACATTGGTTCCTTTTGTTCAACGACGGCTTCCTGCATGTCTCCTCCAACAAGGAGATGTGTAATCTTCCCAACATCTGGGTGGAGCCTCTGCACGACACCACCAACATCGAGTAAGCAGTGGCTGCACGAATTTCCTGCCCAACTTGTTAAAATTAGTGTCTACTAAAATACATTTTAATTAAAAGGAAATTATGTGTGACTATACTATATTTGAAATACAGAAAAGAGGCGTAATTGATTTTGCCTACCTGCTGAACCTCCCCTGAAATTGCTGGATTCGGTTATTTTAATGATGAAATAATTAAGCTTTGGCTTATATGGTTAACTTCATAATTTTTGTGGTGCTGATGAAGAAAAACTTGACTGTAACTCTTTCGTAGTATGGTAATAGTGGTTATAATATTTACCACCAGCAGAATTATATAGCAATACAGAATCTAGTTTTTTGATCATGAAGTATTTGACCATGTTGCTCGCATTCATATCATACATGGAGGATATCAGTATATGGATGGATCATCATAGTTATTCTGGACTTGGTTTCATTCCAACCTTCTTGAGTTACCCATTTCAGGTTTGGAATTCACTTAAAAATGCCAGAGGATACTTGTCTAATCTTGTCTGCCAAGTCTGCACATGAAAAGGTATGAATGGCTTCCACTCAATAATTCTAGTTTCCCACACGTAAACCAACAATTGTATATTATGTAGTGTCTGTTGTCTGCCATTAAAAAAACATTGGGTTGGTTTCATGTAAACCATATAAAATTCTACATTTTATTACAGTTAATTGGGTCAACTGGCAGCATTCTCAACAATCTTCTCTTGAATGATTATATGTAGAATTTCTAGTGAAATACACGTGTTTAAACATGTAGCTAGAGTAACAATATTTATCTGGTAACCGATAAATTGCTGTGTCAATTGACATAGTGAGGATTTGACATCGTCATGGTATACAATAGTGCTCAATGAGAGCTGACCAAAGTCGGTTTTAGAAATATTTATTAATGAAACCAATTTTAACCATGCAGATCTTTGCCAATGCTCTGTGCACACTGTTTTAGGGGCTCTTAACAGATATTCAATACAGTTCATTACAATACAAGTATAGTACAAATTTCAAAGGCTATTGCATTAGCTAATATTGCACAAAATTAAGGGTGTCTTAGGATGCTGTGTTTGATATTAGGCAGAGTGGATCAGTGCCTTCAACAGAGCAATAGTGGATTCACTGTCCTCAATACGTGGCAGGACACTGAGGCTGACTGCACCAAATGCGCGTCACGCCACGTACACGTTCAACAAAACACCCGCATACCAAGGTGCCACATACACAGGCATGTGGCTAGGTGGAGAGATGAGTGGACAGTAAGCATCATCATAGCATTATTTGAACGTCATTTCTCGTGAACTAGGAATTTATTGTGTTGACAAATAAGGTTAGATCTACATATATAGGTGTGTGAAAGAAAACTACTGTCGTTTAGAAAATTGAAATATAATTGTGGTATGGCAACTGTATAGATGTGTTTTACTTTTCCAAATTTATTGCATCATCAGAGGTGAGATGAAGTGGCCAGACCAAAAAACATATGTTGGGAAGTTCAAGAACAACCTCATGCATGGGTATGTATAATTTCATGTCCATGTATTCGTTAGCATAATTTTTTTGCAAGGACTGGCAAACAGGTAAAAAACGTTTAGAATATCCAGGAACAATATACTTTTGACTTCGTGTCGCTTTTTGACTTCTTGACTTTGAACGATTAATTGCAAAAACTAACCCATTTTTACTAGTAAAGGAAGTTACATAATTTAAGAATCAATGGTTTTGGTAGGTATGCTTGGTGATGTAAAAATTGTAATCGTTAGACAGAAACTGAAGATTCACCAAAGGACTTTAGACTTGCTTATGCTACATTATTTGTATTTATATTGGTATAGTCAATTGTTGTATTTGTCAAGGAAATTCTTTTACCACGAGATAATTTTGAGTTGTTGATTGCACCACATTAGTGTTAATTAGCTTGCATCATCAACTCTCATGTGTGAAACACATTCACTACTTCATAATAATGAGTGAAATTATGTGGTGAACCAGGCTTCTCTGGCTATCAATTTAGCAAGTAAGTGATCTCTCGCCTGGAGCCTATGAGATTAAGTAAGTTACCTATGCCCGTTACATAATTTATTTTGTTTAGATACGGAATATTGAACACTCCTTGTTCAGATGGCACAGACGTAAGTGAGGGACATTGGAGAGAGGGCAAACTACATGGCTATGCCTGCATCAAGTAAGTTTGTTCAGAGGCATGGATGCTAGCATGATTTTAGTCAAATGTAACTATTATATAATGACGAGGATACCATATGTCAATATAGTGAATATTGAACAGCAATGTTTTGAAGAGTTCAAAATGAATCCAAAACCAAATATTCATTGTTTTAGCTAATGAATTAAAATAATGAAGCACAAGGTACTATATACTGAGTCTAAAAGAATCGAAGGGCTAAGAGTTAAAGTTTTAGTTGGTGTGTGTACTGTGTATTGTAAGTATGTTGTGGTTTGTAAAGGTATGCCAATGGAGATATCTATAAGGGTTACTTCAAGGATGGCTTGCGGCATGGACATGGCTGTTTTGAACAAGGAAAGTTCTTAACGCAAGCTGCAAGTATCTATGTGGGAGAGTGGTTAGCCAATAAGAAACATGGCTATGGCATACTTGACAATATCATAAAAGGTGAAACTGTTAGCTTATTATGTACATGGTCTCTGTTTATTGACACATGTTAATAATTTAATATGTTTATATTGCTGTATAGTGAATATATGATAATATGATAAATAAATAAAAATCCCTTAATCAGCAATTATAATGAGCAATCTATATAACAAATTACACATTATTTGTCTCTGTACATGCAGTGAAGAAAACAACTATTTAGCAGTTATAGGAAAAAGTCAATTTTAACAGTCAGTACCTTTTGTATAGATATGAAAGAGTCATCAATAACTTTCTACTGTCGTGTGCATGTAGGTGTTTTACTTGTTACAATTAACTTTACGGTGACGTGTTTGCTACTTCTACCTATAATAGCTGAGAAATACATGGGCATGTGGAAGGATGATCTGAGACAGGGTCCTGGCCTAGTTGTCACTCTTGATGGCATCTACTATGAAGGCACCTTCACAAGTGATAAGCTAACAGTAAGAGCTCTGGTTTAATGATATAATAGGTTTACTTTTTATATTCACTACTCACTTCACATTGGTATTACTTGTACGGTGGCAATTGTTCTTCATCGATTTTTTTGTTTGCAGGGATTTGGTTTGATGATGTTCGATGACAACACTAGCTATGAGGGGGAGTTCTCTGATGGAGGCGTTTTCTACGGCAAGGTATACTGCTATAATAGTTAGTATTTTAGATTGGGATACGATTGTGTTGAAGTATACTGATATCATCAGGGATGTATAATATAGATATTATAGATATTATACACGCCTGATATAATTATTATACAGCATCTGAATCTAATGGGTTATTTCCGCTGTGTAGGGACAGATGACTCTTCCCAACGCAGACGTTATCAGTGGCAACTTCACGGGGGAGTGGAGTAAAGGTGTCAAAATCAATGGCATATTCAATAAGGCAATGTCACCAGTGAATGAGAGTGCACGGCAGAAAGGCAGTCGTACCAACCTCCCTGGGTATGCTGGTGACTGTAAACTGTTCCGAGCCTATGCTAATTGAAAAATGCTTATCAAATGTCTGTTCAGGTGATGGATTAGCACCTCAGCTGGGTTCTTACAACACTCTATATACCTAATGCTCAGATGTCAATGTTCCACATATATAATATTATATAAATGAATCTTGCATGTCTACAAGCAAACAGCGACATGTGAATACTCATTAGTATGCATGCACCATGTACATGTAGCTCTATGCATATATACACATATATATCATACACATATTAATAACTATTACTTACTTACTTACACACTTTTTATTTATTCAATTTTTATTTATGCACAAAATTGCGTGTGTGTGCTCTATGCATGCTCATGTATATGCACGTGTGCCAGTGTGCTTGAACCCACACACGCAGGTTTTGTTGTCTCTGCTCGCAGATGTTTCGGCAAGTTGTGCGTCCCGGCTGACCACAAGTGGGAGGCTGTGTTCGATCACTGTCGGGTCAGCATGGGCTGTGCAGATGCTGACAGCCATGGTCAGCATGTCTGCAGGCGGGCGTGGGAGCACATCGCTGTCATCATCACCAAGGGTCGCAAGCAGCTGCAAATAGCACTGAGTAACAGGTGCGCACATAGTAGCCACCCGCGGCATGATGGACGCTGTGGTAACGAAGCCCTGATGGATCTATTGTGATAATGATAATAATAATAATAATAATAATAATAGTAATAAATTATTTTTGCAAATTACTTATGTACGCAATCTATTATTGTGTACATATATTGTGTTGCATATTATTAGTTAAAACTAGAAGCATATTTCGGAACCACAATCGAATCTATAATATTTGCCTATGTTACTTATATTCATAACTGGGTTAATGCATCTACCTATGTTATCATGCTTATCCTCAGTTAAGGTTATAGGCTATCGTATTACATTATGTTATCATATCTAGAATTATACAAGCTTGGCTACCTCCGATATAGCACTGTATATTTAATTCCATTGAACAGTTTGGGTCATCCTTCAAAGCTCAAGGCTCAGATTGAATCTCTCGACAAGCTGGCGCGAATCATACATCATGAGCAGAAGGCCTTATATCTGGAGGACTACCACGATATCAAAAGCTATCTCACACTGGTCAGTGCGCACACAAAATATACATTGTTCTTAAGTTAGATCGACCAACTCTGCCTGGTCTGTCATAAACAGTATATATCACATCGGCTCAAATATCAGCTAGTACGTTTGCTATTGCTAGCATCTTAAAATTGATGTTTTTATGGTCAACAATGCATTACACATTCCTATTCACATGATCAGACTTACCATGGACACCATACAATACCATACCACACTGAACCATGCCACACTATACCATATCACATCATTTCATACCATATCATAGTGTAAAATGCTACCACACAATACCATACCATATATATACCATGCACTCTTGATACCATACCTTACATTACTGTACCACGCCACGCCACGCCACGCCACGCCACGCCACGCCACGCCACGCCACGCCACGCCACACCACGCCACCCCACCCCACGACACGACACGCCACGCCACCCCACGCCACGCCACGCCACGCCACGCCACGCCACGCCACTCCACGCCACGCCACGCCACACACCACAACACACCACACCACACCACACCACACCACAACACACTGTGCCACACCATGCCACACAACACACTGCACCATACCATACCTACCATGCATACCATGCAGTAGCATTCTTTCACAATGCACGTTGTCCGACAGGCATTTGAATCGCAAGCACACCCGCTGGGTAAGTGTCTGGAGTCGCTGGTCGATGTCTATCGCACTGCCTACGTGGGCGTCGGTGCCCACAGTCGTCTGCTTTACCATGCTGTTAAGGAAGTGCGCTCCTACGTCAGCAGGCTGTACAAAATAGTCAGGTATGCTGTACATTAGTGCGTTTGTGTGGACTGTATGTCACACATCGTTGTTAGCTATAGCACTATTGCCTCCATGCTCTAGATGCCGTTCATTGGTGACTGCAGTGCTAGCGGTATTTCTTTGCAGAATGTTAAAGGTGCATTGTAAATTGAAGCATTTGTGTGCAGAAATGTAACAGTACGTTACAAGTTGATACACATGTGTATGAGATCATCAGGTATGTCACCAGGTTAGCAGTGCACATGGAAAAAAATAGTCCGATACATATGGTACCTTGTATGTGTTTTATGATGTGGACAAAATTGGCAGACCTGTACTCAACACCTTCATGGGCTTGTGTAACTTGTGCTTGGTTACTGTATGCATTACATGCATCGGTGAACCCCACGTTCCTGCGAGACACGTATTTTTGTAAAAAAAAAAATTGAAGCAAATGGGTGGAAACAGTTGTGATGGAGATGGGTAGATTACAGCTTTTGTTTGTTTGTGGCAGACTTCTTTTCCCCGTTTTACCAGAGGATGGCCAGGAGACTACTGTGACTAGCAGATCGGTGGCAGCTGGTGGCAGTAAGAGTGATGATGAATACTGTAACAGGTAATGGCGGAGATCTCCATGCTTATAGATATAACATGATGTTGCCTTCTCAGATCTGGCAGGTCATGTAATGATGATGTGTTAAGTTTGTTTAACTGTGTTGTCGCGTGCTGCAGTGATGGGGTGAATTCCTCGAGTGCATCTAGTACTGCTACCTCTGATCAGCCATACGCAATCACTCTTGTGTGCTATCTACAGTGAGGTTGCTACCTCCCAGGGTCTGCTGCACCCAGTACTACTACCACTGATCTATCCAACACTGTTCACGCTCTATGTGCTTCACAATGAGAACGAAGATGACTGCTATTGGGAGCGTATTCTGAAATGGAACAAGCAGTCTGACATTGCACTCATGACTTACCTCGATGTCAATGAGTGAGTACCTAGAGTTCATGCAAAAGGAGACGAGCAAACACAACTACTGCAGTAGTTAAGCAAATACATCAGTCTTGCATCACAGTATTTGGGGTTTGGTGTCACTCTTTGGTCATATGCTTCAAAGTTCAGCTCAGTATTGGTATTTGTAGCAGTGTTCATGTGATCACATTGGTTTTTTGTTTATTCATGTTTGTTAGGCATTATGTGTATTATGAATATCATTTTGTGTGTGTGTGCATGTGGGCGCGTGCATGCGTGCATGGCTGCATGCATGGGGGAGCATGCGTGTGTGTGTACATGCATCCGTCCATGTATATGAGCATATTTGCATGACAGTTTGAATTCCTCCATTTCCAATATTGTAATTTTCCAGGCCTTCAACATTTCAAAATGTCGTAACTTGCATCAGCATCACGTAATCACATATATCACTGTTGTAAGGTCTGTTAGGTTTAGTGAGCATGAAAAAATCTCCTTAAAACCTTCATAAAAACCACACATAGTAACAACTGAATCCTATTATACAAAAACGAATAAATTTGATCGTGAATTCAAAATGAATGTAATTGCACGGTGCCTTGTAGTTTTTGGTGTGTGTGACTGTGAGTACATGTTGCCTGTATCATTTTGTTAATCCACTAACTATGGGAATATGTAGAATCTAAATTGTGTAGACTTATTGTGTATTTATGTAGTAATATGTTACACTATCAGTGGTGTGCATCACAGTGTCTGTGTTAGTGTATCAGTGATGTTAATTATGCAAAGAGAGGAATAATTTTGTCAGCGAAATAGTTTGCTTTCAAAAAATGTATCACTGATGTAATCGTGTGAGACATTGTGGCGCTTCGCTTCCCTAGTACAGTGCCCTAATGCCACATGTTAAAAACACCTCGTCGCCAGGCATTGTCTATTAAAACGTCCCATCGGGAAACTGATTCCCTCGAGGTCTCAGGCTCCTAGGTCAGTTGCGTTGTCGTCTCTGCAGGAAGTTCTGGCTGGAGGACTTGGACAACGCCGTGCAGTCGGGCGAGCCACGCGCGCGCCTCACGTCGATGTACGAGCGCTACTTCACGCACGCCGTCGAGAGCCTGCAGCATCTCAGCACGACTTTCTGCCCGGCGGGCAAGCTCGCGGTCATCCACCGCACGTTCGTCGAACTCGAGAAGGTAAGTATAGTCGCAGATGGCCAGCGTCAGTAAGTGCCATGTCACAACTGTTTGGCCCCAATACTAGCTTAAAATGAAGGCCAGATAGTTCGAACTGTTGGACCAGAAGGCCCAATAGTCGACGAACTGTTGACGCAGCAAGGTCCAGTAGTTAACACAACTGATTGACCGAAAAGAGCCAGCGTCACAACTGTTGACGGGTCATGCAGGCCAGCTAGTCGCTAAACTTGTTGACCAGGGAAAGTCTAAGTAGTCAGCAACTGTTGACACAGCAAGCGCCAGTAGTCAGTCAACTGTTGATCGCAGAAGGCCAGTTATTCAGCAACTGTTGACGATCAGGAAGGCCAGTAGTCATCCCTGTTGACCAGGAAGGATCCACGTAGTGACGCACAAACTGTTAGGGATCGGCAGAAGAGGCAAAATAAGTCGAGAACTGTTATGACCAGCAAAGGCCAGTAGGTCACTGAGAAAATTTGATTGACGTAGAGAAGGCCAGATAGGTCACACGCACTGTCAGTTACTCCTTGACCAGAAGGCCAGTAGTACCAGAATCTGTTGACCAGAAGGTCCAGTAGTCACCAACTGTTGACGCAGATAGGCCATGTAAGTCCACCACACGTGTGACTGATCTTCAGAAGCCCCAAATAGTCACAAACTGTTGAAGCAGAAGGCCAAGTAGTCAGGCAACTGTTGCCATCAGACCAGCGCCAAGCTAGTCATAACTGTTGACTCAGAAGGTCAGTAGTCACAACTGTTGACGTCAGAGGAAGGCAAATAGTCACCAACTGTTGAGATCTAGGTCCCGTAGAAGGCGCAGTAGTTCTGCAGCACTGGTTTTTACAAGAAGGCCCAGGTAGTCATTCAACTGTTGACTCAGGGAAGGTCAGTAAAGTGCACTAACTGAGTATAAGAAATCTATCAGAAGTGCCAATAGTCACTAAACTGTTGAACACAGAGAAGGCAGTAGTTTGCTCAGCCAAACTGTTGACTGACAGAAGGCACAGTTTAGTACAACAACTGTTCACTTGGCCCAGAAGGCAACGATAGTGATGACACAACTGAGTGTTGACCAGTGACGGAAGGGTCTAGTAGTAGTCACAACTGTATGGACAGAATGGCCAATAAGTCACAAACTGTTGAATCTGGCAGTCACAGGGCCAGTAGTCTAACAACTGTTGACCCATGTAAGGCCAGAGTAGTCATAAGCTGTGTTGACCAGAAAGGCTCAGGACGTGCCAACTATTTGATCCATGGAAGGCCACGGTAGTCGACAACTGTTGACCAGAACGCTCAGTAGTCACAACTGTTGACCAGAAGGCAGTAGTCACAACTTTGACCAGAAGGCCAGTAGTCACAACTGTTGACCAGAAGCAGTAGTCACAACTGTTGACGGTCGCAGAAAGGCCAGTAGCTCACAGACTGTGTGCACGCAAGAAGGCCAGTAGTGCACAACCTGTTGACAGCAAAAGGCCGAGTAGTGCACAACTGTTGACCCGAAGGCCAGTGTCACAACTGTTGACGCGCTGAAGGTCCTAGTAGTCCGTAGCGGTCACGCAGAAGGCAGTAGTCACGTTATTGTGTTGTAGGAAGCGGTGAGAGAGAAGGCCAAAATCAAATAGTAGTAGGTTAGTAGCAATAATATATAATGCATCATCAATCATTCATAATAATAATGCAGGGCTTCGTGTCATTCGAATGGCGTGTATGTCTAAAACATACCATTGTCAGTGTTTGCATGATGGCATATATTATTTATGACTGTAATCAATTGAATTTATCTATAGTGTGAATCAGTTTCATTCGTGGAGGGCATTATGTAATGATTTTACGTGTAAATACCAAAGAATTTTAATGAAGCTCTAGTTACAGTACGGTTTCATTAGCCTCACACGTACCTGTTAAGCAAGAGCATTGTGCTGCATGTATTATGATCATTATTTTTCTCTATGCCTATTGATTTCTATGACGTCGTACATTTGTTTTATAACACCAGACTCGGCAGTTCCAAAGACACAGCAGCAGCATTGCGGGTAACAGTACTCCAGCTATTGTGATGAATAAAAAAATGGTTACAATGTTACGCTAGCTTTCAGAAAAGCCCTGAATTAACGCGGATCACTTGCTAATATGGCAGAAGCCTACTCACACTCGCTTGGATGCTAATTGAACTTTTATGGCAGCTCACAAAGATAAAGATACAATTTATAAGCTACACGTGTACAGTAGTCAACATGTAGTTAAGCGCCTGTAATTTCTGCCAGTGCAAGACGAAACAGATTTTTTAAGAAAGCGCTTACAAGCAAAGAGAGAATGAGCACACCCCCCCTGTTGATTTCACTTGGCGAGGATCAAGGGGTAGAGTGAGTGAAGGGGGCCTTAACGGTCCTGGCTCAAGTGATGACCTTCCTGTGGTTCGCAGTCACTTGTGTCCGCGTGTCGCTGCCATTCGCGCGAAATACCAAGTGGGTCTGAGATAACACATGAACTGCGGATGCATCATCCATGGCACAGTCATCTACAGTTTTTGCACGAGATGGGACATCCATGTTCACCAGAAGCGAGACACAAAAGAATAAAGAACCTGTGGTGCAGGATGACAAGGGTAGCACGGCGATGATTACAGGCTCCAAAGGTATTTAGTTAGATATTAAGAATACTGAGAGTCAATGAAAAGCAAACCACCACGAGGGAAAGCCATACCGTTTAAGGAGAGACGGGGTTTATGGTTGTTTAGATGGAGCAGGTCCATTGAGCGATAAAGAGTCCAAATATGCAGCGTTGGGTAGAGGAAGACGAATTGATCAGAAGTCCGCGTAAGAGAGCACGACCAGACATCAGAGAGATGCGTCGAGGCCTACGCACAACTTCGTCGACGTAAGGATGTGGCTTCAAATTTCCGGGCCTGTCGTCCTAATACTTCACAACAATCCTACGTTCGTACATACACCCACGTCGTAGTCCATTCCGTGTCGTTGGACCGATCGAAACCACGAGTCCGTAATATTTATTACCGTTACATGAAAGCTTAATAACGGTTTACCCCCGCTTCAACAGTTGGGCCAAATCGTAAACCGCGTCGACGTACGGTCACCGCATATTCGGGTCGGTTGGGCGGGATCGTCAACGAGTTTGGGAATGTCGAAGCTGGGTCAAAGGTCAAAGGTCAAGACGTGTAAGAAGAAGGCGGGAACATTCAGCTCCTTTTAAGCTTAAAGGTATAGGGAGGAAAATCGCAGAATTGGGCGGCACACAAATTTAAACGGCTCGATCCTAGGCTCGTGATAGTCGGTGTATAGCATCATGGTAGGCAAAAAGCCATCACTGTGCTGAAATGTGGATGGTCACAGGTCAAAGGTCACATGGGCACAGGGCCGATTTTTAGAGCATTTTCTGAGACAGATGGTCTGACGTGAGCGATTGAACAATTTTGTTGTTTCAGCCGGTGACTAGGCGCATTTTTTATGGGCTTTTATTGAAAGGACCAATGGAAATGTCCCTTCTGGCTGACCATGATGCGGAAGATGTAAGTGTCGGCTAACCATTTTGGACCGCTCAGATGCGAGGTAAACCATTGGATTGTTGACTGTTAACAAAGGAAGTGAGCTGCTTTTCTTCGCTATTCCAGAGCCCTCGCCCACCCTCCTTCTCGCCTCCCCCACCGGGCCTGGGACCCGTCCTTCCCGCGCACCTTTCGCCAACCTCCCCCGACACCGCTGCCTGAACCCTCCACCCTACCCCTGCGCCCATCTGCGATAAGTGGGGGCCGTGTCCTAACAATTCGATTCGTGTACGAAGGGCGCCAAACTCTTTGCCCGGTGTCTGCATATCTGCGCCTAACAAATGTGGTACTACGCACGACTGAAATTTTACGTTTATAATCGTAGCAACAGACCTCAGATGAGCCCAGACGCTCTGCGGCTCTTGTTCTATATCAGAGCATTATGAAATAAGTAGTGTAGATCGCATTCTAAATTCGCAAAAAGTTGTTACGTTTGCTGAAGTGAACGAAGGATGGCTTCCTTTTAACAACGTTTTAGTAAAATACCATGGAATGTAAAATAATGTTTAAAAAATTCATAAAAAATGTAATCTGTGAATTAAAAACACGTACAAGGTGTATGCGCAAATGTGGGGCTTATTTATTTCGATATCTCTTTTCGTTTTCAGGCATGTTACTTCCAGATTCAAAACGAGAAACTGTCACACTACACTTGAGGTTTTGACGTCAACCGACCCTGCTGTTTAGAGCACCACCATGTCAGTAAAGATTGCTCGTACACAGTTGGTTTTTTTTAAATCTTGTCACCACATGAAATTATGCGGGTGACATGATACAGTTGATACCGGTGGTTTTACATGGAGTATGTTCGTACAGATAACATGATATCAGGAGTGAATAATAACAGATGATTATATTAATATTCTCATTATATTATATTATATTATATTAATATAGATGATCTATTATTATTCACTCCTGATGATATCGTTATTGTATAGTGATATATGGAGGAATGATACGGACATATAGTGATACGGTGGAGCAAGTAGCTCTGCCATTGGCATGTGCTGGTCATTTACTTGAATAAAATTGGTAGTTTGATTCAAAGTTTGATCATCCTTTGGTTAGTCTGTTGACATATATTTTATACGTATATATAGATTACTGATACTGTTTTTCTGATTTATTTTATATCACACTGGATATGTGACAGATGTTACTGTGTTGCATTATATGAGTCATCTAATGAGTGATGCCTTCATACTATTGTCAACAAATTTGTAGAGAGCGTACAGCAATGACATAGTGCTAGAAGACTTTATTTCTATTCAATATAAAAAGAAAAATTTTAATAGTCTCGCGTGTGAACTTAATTATATAAACTCAATCATATTATACTTTGTTAAAAGTTAAGTTGTTATGGATTTAGCTATATTTAATTATATTAATATTGATGCATTATTTAGAGCAGCTGCTAGGAAAGACCGCAATGTAAGATGAAAGTAAATTTATTTATTTACCCTCTCAATTCTATTGTTTGTAGCTTGTATTATTATCGTAAACCTCTATTTCGACTGTGATTACTCATAGATGATGACAGTTGAGAAGCATGTAGGAGGGACACACCTCCTGATTGCTATTATCGGAGTGGCTGAGTGGCAAAAACTTGATCAACTCGCTGACCAAAAGTTGAGGAAATAGAACTAGTTGCTATCAGCTTGTTGAGCACTCAAATTTTCGTTTACATTGCCGACTTTCGGTCGATTAGTTAACGGTGAAAATCGAAAAAATGATCAACACGTCCAACTTTTCAACAGAAAGTTGATACTGTAAACCCAGCTTTAGGGATACAGATATTTCTTTTTGGCTTGCTTGCGCCCACAAACTATTGGCATATGTACTTTGTACGCATATTCGGTCGAACACATTTGATACTTCAGCTTGCCATTGGAAAACAACCTTAACGCGCGTTATTTTATTTGGATGATCGGGATTGGAACGCGATATTTTCTGCAAAACAAACATGAGGTAACATTGTTAAACAACCCTAAACTGACAATTCTCGGCTTTTCAGCGGAATCTGAACGCAGATGGGCTCATAAAATATTTGTAGAACTAAACACATATGCGTCCGTGCGTGCTTGCGTCGTGTGCACAGTCGACTGCGTAAGATACAAATACGCACGCATGTGCGGCTGGGAATATATTCACCGCCTAATCAGGACCACCGCTTTATCGGGACATTTTTATGGTTCCCGATCCATCCCGATAAATCGAGGACGACTGTAATACGTATTCGCTAGAAGATTTTACTTTTACAAGAAAAATATCAATATTACATCATTCATGCGGCCGAATATGATCAATTAAAATGCAAATTATTGATCAACGTCGACACGCAAAGAGGCAATAATAATGCAAATATAGACAATAAGCACGTAAAACGCTGCTCCTGCATGTTGGCAGCGTCGCCAGCGACAGCAGAAGCGTTTTTGTCGCCGTCGCCGTCGTTATGATCTTCATCATTTTTTATTTAAATCAAGCTAATTTCGCGCATGCAATGAATCGATCGTATATATATATATATATATATATAGTATATTATACGACGCGTGCGTGTGTGTGTGTGTGTGTGTTGTGTGTGTGTGTGTGTGTGGTGCTGTGTGTGTGGCGTACGTGTGTACGTGCGTGCGTGCGTGCTTGTATGTGTGTGGTGTGTGTGTTGTGTGGTGTGTGTGGTGTGTGTGTGTGATGCGTGCCGTGGCGTGTGTGCGTGTGTGTGTGGATGGATTGGATGGATGGATGGATTGACGGACGGACTGACGAGACGGACTGGACATGCGAAATAGATAGATGCATTCCCGCCCCGCAAGTCATTCCCGTCGCGAGGCGCCGACAGCATTTTTGTTCTACCCGATGGGGAGAGGTTAGTACCTCATTTTAAAGCGGCTCTTTGGACGTTTCACCACTAAGCCTAAGAGTAAGAACGTTTATACGCGTGCATGACAGGTTTGCAATACCGGCCGGTCTACCTGGAGCGTGCTTGATGGCCGGCTTAATGGCATCCGCGTCGTTCTACATGAACAGGCCGGGTGGTCCATTTACTGTTTAACACACGCTAGCTGTTAACCGTCGAATAAGGCGAAACGACAAAAATGAGTGGCAAAGGATCAGATGGCAATGCAGATGAAGTGTGCATTCGTCTGATTCGCCGCGTACCCAAGGTACTGCCATCGTGCATACTTTGGCCATTGTCCCATAGAGTAGGACAAAGTATATTGTTCTATATATAGAAAGTATATTATATTATAGTATAAGTATATAGTAGTATATAGTATAGGTATACACAGACAGTATATTAGTAGTTAAGGGACAACAGATCATCGCGTGAGCAAAGTGGGCATTTCTCTGATGTATCTAAAGACACACCAACTACACAGCCGTATAAAACGAAAAAGCTACACAGCATGGTGTTTTATTTGCACCTGAGATATAGCAAACTAACACAAGAATACGCGATTAGTTTATATCAATGAGCGGATATTTTTTTCACCGTTCACATCCTGCACAATTGGTCAAGTAATATGTTTATGAGGTGGTCATTAATACACTGGGTATAGATACTTTAATAATGAAATGATAATAAATATGATACATTACGAAACAGATCTCATATGACGATTAGGTAATCATCAGTCCGCTTACTAACATATCGCGCATGTTTATCTAAAAATCTGTGAAGACGTGAATAGATTTGAAGTTATTTTAATTGTTGTACATATCAACTGCCTACTGTACGTAAAAGAATGTCACT